ACATATTGCAAAGAAGGTCCACTAGTTACAAATGTGATAAATAGTCCTTGTGAACATATTTGTCATGGGATGAATGCTAATTGAAGTTAATGCAGAAGTAGGAAGGAAGTAGCAACTATGGTGCAACATCCTATTGCGAACAGATTTGCCATGTGATAGTAGTTTCATATGCTTTAAAGGATAAATGACATTTAATAGTTCAAAAAATATGGTCTCTTTATTCAACAGTGCACTAGTTGTCTTTGTAAAATGTTGCTTCAAATCATCTTCTGGATAATAAAAATATGTGCTCAAATATTATAAATGTGGGTGTTTTTATGTCAACACGCATTTTTTATTTTTAACTGTATATAAAAAAATAAGAAGCAGTCTTTTGTAAGTAAATGTGTACAAAATTTCTAAATGCGTGCAATTTTGCTTGAAATAGAGAGAAAGATAATACAGCTATGAATTAGTTAGTCAACCATATTTAATATAATATTTTAATTTTGTCCGACACTTTCTTATTTTTCTAAAAAGTTGGTATTCTAAACAAAGCAAATCAAAGGTAATTTAGACTTTGCACGTTAGCCATAGTTCAAATTAAGTAACTTTATCTATATAAATGGAAAGCTGAAAATGAAAACTTTGTCTATATAAATGAATCAGAAGGAGTATTTTTTTTGTGAATTTTTTTTGAAGGAATTGTGAATTTAATAGAGTATTTATAGGACAAAGTAATTAATTGATGAAGTCTATAAGATGATTATGAGTTTTTCAAATTGTAATTAATGAGATTACTCAAATAAATTATAAAATTAAATTTTAATTCAATTATAATACTATGAGTAATTAATTATTTATTACTATCTCTGTTCCATAATACTTGTCACATCTGAAATTTCACGTTCTTTAAAAAATTATTAAATTTGTCTAAGTTACAATAAACTATTGAGTAAATTGACTATATTATCATTAATTTAATATTAATTCTCTAATAAAACTATTAAATTGAAATAATAATTATTGGTTATATACAAATGGTAAACATGGAAAAAAATATTCATTACTCCTTGAAATTACAACCCCGACAAGTATTTTGAAACAAACTATTTTATCAGATGTGATAAATATTATGGAACGAGATGGTATTAGGTTTTGAGTTAAACTCATGTCTAGAGACTATCAAAATGCACTTCTTAGTATTGTTGTATTCTATTAATTATTTAAAGGTTATTAATTATTGAAAAATAAAATAAAAGTTTCACTGTTATAAAATAAGAATGATCAAAATTTTCTTTTTTGCAATTAAAACAGATGTCATTATTGAACATCAGAACGAGGAACTATAAAAATAAAATTTTTTCTCTTAACAAAATTAAAAGTAACAGTAGCTGATACAATTATCTATAATCAAATCAAAGGTAGAAGAACCTGTTTTCTTGATCGCATAATCACCATAGTAGATATAAGCTTGTGATTTAATCCAGCTAAGAGCTTCCCTAACATCCATTGCTTCAGCCGAAGAAGGAGAAAAAGAAGCCAATAATCGAAAACCATCTTTGAGCAATACAAGTAGAGCCGATAGCAGGTAGAATTTTAGATGATTGAGCTTCTTAATTTCCATTCTCTAACTGCATAAGTAGCAAAAGAAACCAATTTAGGAGGAGGAGTTAAAGCTTTTAATTCCTGTTTCTCAAGAGATAGCAACAAATAAGAGGAGCAAACATAAAGCTTCATCAGAACAGAGCGTTCAATGGTTTGGACACAAGAGAATGAGGTTGAGTTATCAACTTCCAACTTCATTATCAAATTAGTGTTCTAAAATGGTCACATAATTCAATCTTTTATATATTTATTTATATAAACAAACAGTTCTATTGCTCATGTTTTTATGAGCAGGACAAGAAAAGATAAGACTAAGCAAGATTAACTAACTAGGAAGGTTCATAACTAATATTTGCTTAAGCATGCATTTCTTTCTGACAAGTCCTTTAACTTATCTCTGATCAAAAAAAGCTTTATGGCAGCATCAGTGGCAATTGATCAACAGAACAAGAAATTCCAAGTACAGAAATCAAACATTCCATCATCTGATTGAATGAGAATTTGATCTACAGTTGCACTCACTCCATTGGGTAAAGCTGACGCCATAAACTTCTGAAGCTTCCAACCTTCTTAAAACATGTCGTCAGTAGGCTCCTTCCGTGTAAACATATCTGGCATGAGAATGCCATAACTATAAACATCACATCTGCAATTATTAAGTTAGATATTTCAATCCTACAAGTTCAAATTTTTCGAAGATGAAAAAAGAAAAAAAATAAAAGTAAAACTCTCTACCTGGAGGAGCATAACCAACAGTTCCTCGTAATCCAACTGAACTTGATTAGTAAAATTATTTTGGATGCTATGCAAAAGGAATCTTGCCATCCCAAAGTCTTCAATTTGGGCAGCCATTTCATCATCGAGAAGAACATTACTGGGCTTGAGGTCGCAATGGACTATTGGAGCCCCGGAATGATGATGAAGATATTCAATTGCAGAAGCAAAATCAATTGCAATATTTATTCTGAATTAGATTTAAATTCTTATATCCCTCACACATTCCATATGCTGCAACAGATGGATGCAACCATTCCTCAAGGCTACCATTGACCATGAGCTCATAAACTAATGCCTTGGAGTCATTGCCTCGACTATCCACATCCGAACATGCAGTTACAATCTTTACAAGATTCCGATGTCTAATACTAGTCAAAGCTTCACATTCTACCATAAAACTCTCAGCTGCACCATGATACTGGAAGTTAAGCATCTTAACAGCTACTGCTTGCCTGCCTTCATTACGATTTCCTTTGCATGCAGATCCAAAACTACTACTACCAATTAAATTAGCTGATATGAGCCCGTTAGTGGCCTTATGAAGATAGTAATATGACCCTTTCAGAGCTTTCAGAAGATAAATTTCTGAATTGGATGAAGCAGATTTTTGTCTTTTCTTTTTAAACAACAAAAGAAATATAAAAGATACAACCACCAGAATTGCTCCTGATATGTCTCCTTTTATTGGATCTTTTGAAATGGCAAACTGGCAGCTGGAACTCAGTTATGCCTCCACGTAGCTTGTTGCTTCCTATAACTGAACGCTTGCATTCTTGAAGACTCCATCGCTTGGCACTATGCAGTCAAAATCACTGAAAGATAAGTCCAATCTAAGCAATGAATCAAAGCTAGCAAAAAATCTAGGAATTTGCCCAGACAAATTATTGTCAGAAATTCATAAATTGAAGACCTCTTAATGAGCTGAGAGAGGAAGGAATGGACCCTTGGAAATGGTTGCCATTCATGTATAGGGACTCACCATATAAGTCGGTGTTAGCAATAGTGACACTTATGTTACATGTCATTCATCTTGTGTTTTTGATATTTTCCTTTCTTGTAAACTTGAACAAGATGATGGCAGCAAAGCTTACTTTTTAGTTTAGTTTAACTTAAGTTATTAGTTTTGGTAGAGAGTTGGTAAAAACTAGATTGCATTTCTTTGTATAAATGTAGCTGCTGGGACAGATTTGTTGTAAGGAAAAAAGAGAAAAAGGAGAGAGCTGGATAGCTATGAGAATGAAGAAGAAGAAAAAAACTTTGTTTTTTATGCTTTGTAAAATCCTTTTACTATGGGTAATGAATTTATGTTTTTCCTTTCATCTTTATCTATTCCTTTGTTATGTGTTTAAGATATACTTTTTTGTTATTTCTTTGAAAATGCTAAAACCAGCTCTCCTCCCCCATTTTCAAACAGTCAGACATCTCATATACATAAGTCTTTCAAGTTGCCTACTTCTGTCGGAAGGGAACCAGTGAAATAGTTTTGTGCAAAACTGACATAAATTGACAAGGATGAGAGGCCAATAACTTGTGGAGGTAAGACACCAGTAAGATCGTTTCGAGAAAAGTCCAGCAATTGCAAATATTTGCAATTAGCAAGGCTTGAAGGAATCATACCTTGAAGGTTATTATCAGCAAAATGAAGTCTATTCAAATTAGTGAGGTTTCCAATAGATGATGGAACGGGTCCAGAGAACTTGTTTTCATCAAAATCATAGCCAATGCACTTAGCACATTTCCAATACTTTGGGAATGTTACCTGAAAGCTTGTTCTTATTCACTCATATAAAGGCCAAGTTGACCAGATTCCTAATATTAGTTGGAATACTTCCAGATATTTGATATTCATATAGAGACAATTCATCAAGCTTGGATGACAATTTGCCAATGCACTCAGGTAAAAACCCTCTAAAGTTATTTATGCTAGTATCCAACCTCTGCAAAATGCTGGCATTAGTCAAAGAACAGAGAAATCCCAAAATCATCAACTTTCCAAGACTATTGCCATTAATAAAAAGCCCTCGAACATTCAATCTATCTAAAGAAGGCACTATGAGAGTGCTTCCCTGCAACTGAAGCTCCACTAACTTGGAAGCATTAGCTATTTAATTAGGAATGGGACCTGTAAGTTGGTTATAAGCAAAACCCAGGACCTCAAGATTTGAAAGAGAACTGAACAAATCTGCAGGAAGAAATCCTTCAAAATTGTTGTCTCCTATATCTAAACGTGAAATAAAAGAAAGATTGAAGATTAAAGAAGGGATAATGCCAGACAACTTATTTATAACAAGTTCTAAAAACATAAGATTTTTAAGTTGTCCTAAAGCAATAGGAATATTTCCAGCAAAGTTGTTTAAAGCTACAGAAATAGTATCAAGAGAATACAAGTTTCCAAGAGAATGAGGGAGAGTTCCTTTTAGATTGTTCATAGATATAGAAAGAAATGTAAGCTTTGAGAGAGAGCCAAGCTAACACAGGAACTTTTTCCCGTCAGATTGTTGTTCACAAAACTCAAATAAATAAGATCATTCTCATGTTCCTGTGACAAAGAACAACAGACAAAAGAGTAGCATACATGAAAAATATGACCTGAAGCTTAAAGAGCCCATTCCTATAAAGTTAAAAGTTCTCTCTACAATGGAAAGCTAAAACTGCAAATATTTTAGGGACCCTGAAACTGGTAATATTTGGATGGTTTAAGCTATTCAGAGCATTAAATCCTGTATTATACAAATAAATGGATCATTCCCAGCATTTGATTTAGTCTTGCCCACTTATTTGGGTTGGAAACTTGTTGCTAATTCTTTCTTCCATTCAACTTCTGACACAAAAGCTAATTACTGTAAACTTTATTCTACTTGACTTTTACAGAAGAGCCACAGGATATCCTTTGTCGAGCAACACTAGACTTTCCACATAGGGATCCAGATGAATATTATATGATGATCTCTGCAAATCGATAATATCCTTGCTTTTGCTGCTTTGTAGCTCAAATGTAATTATCCGATGCGACCACCAGTTCCAGATTAGGAGCGCAGTACCATTATATCCCAACGGGCATCCAATTTCAACCGGCAAAGTTGATAATATGGTCCATGACCCTATCACATTATAATCCTTCATCACCCATAAATGATTCTGTGATGAAGTAGAATCTTGTTCTCCTACCACAAATTGAGACACAGCAATTGATGATGATCCCTTGTGTGCAAAAAGTGAGAGGCACCATGGATTTGCATAAGCCAAATTTTCAGGCAACGTAATCTCATTAAACTCTTCATCACTCATGTTAAATCCCAATATCTTATTGTAATAATTAAAGTGTTCATCTTTTTCATAAGTTAACCAGTGCAAAACTCCATTAGAAAAAATCGGTGAATCCCAATCTGTACTCTTCAATGGTGGGATGATGTCAGTGAGAGCCTTCCAAGAACCCATGTTGAGAGAGAAAAGCTCAACTTGGGCTCTGTAACAACGATTTTGTTTGACTATCCTTACTAACTTGTAGTCGTCTGTGCGGGAATCATATCCAAACCCAACAATGGTTTCCCCACTGTAATTGGGTTTTGGAACGTTAAAAGATCTTTTAATTGCTGGATTCCAAAGGATCAAAGTGTCTATATTTATGAAAAATTGATCAGTGACAGAGTTAACGCGAAGGCAAACTAAGCCATTGACAGAACCAACAATCTGGAAGAATCCAATGGTAGATCCTTGGAATGGAACATGGAGCTTCTTGTACTCATTGAAACCTTCATCATCAAAATGCAAATAAAACTCTATGCTGGGATCCATTCCCGTGCCGCGAACAGTGAGGAGGGAAAGAGGATCCTTGGTTGAAGAAAGGTGCCTGTAGATGAACGAAGGGCTTCTGATGAGGGAATTCCAATATTTGCACACGCCAGTGCAACACAAGAGAGTTTTTACTGATAGCTTTAGGAGTATTTCTTCAACCAATTCTCCAGGCAATTCTGTCATCTTAGAGCAAATTTCAAACTGGGACAACTAATACAAAGACCTTAACGAAGGTAAGAAAAAAAATTTATTGCAAAAGAGGATTTGGGTTTACGAAAACGGAAGTGTGAAACAGGGTTAGTTTTCTTTCATGGTTAAACGTAGTAAAAGGTTTGATAAAGTTATGCAGAAGAAACTAAAAATATATATAGTAGTGAAATCCAAGTTATTTAAGGTTAGATGAATTATTAACAATCAAAAATCTAAATGGAATATAATTTCCATGTCTCTCAAGGAAATCAAAACCTAATCCTAATCGGCAAATAACTTTTGTCTGCACCTTTTTGTATTGTTTCAACGCTGGGTATAAGATTTAAGAAACAAAAATAAGATTAAGAAATCTCATATTGGGGCAAAACTAGAAAGTTTTTTCCGTGGCTGTGTCTTAGAGTAAGAAAAGGCCCGTTTTAGATTTTCCATGATTTTCTGAACTGATACATTTATTGATACAGTTCAAAACCTTACTTTGACCACAAGTAAAGCCGGTTGGAAAATAAAGATTGAGAGGAGAAAATAAAAAACCATAAACACCCACAAGAACTCAAAGTTAAAAATTCAAAGCAAATGGCAGCAGGAATTCACAGCACAAAACAATGGAAATTTCTTTCTTTTTTTCTTCTTCATATTTTCAGCACAATACACTTACAACTCCTCTTCGCTTTTCTCTTTTCTGTTGCTCTTAAATCTGTCCTAGCAGCTATATTTATACAAAAAATACAACAATAATTTTTACCAACTCTTCGCCCAATGCCATAAATTGCCCCCTAAACTTTTATCAAAAAGTCCTGTGTGCCTTTCTATTTTTAAAGTGATCTTGTGATCTCTGAATTTCATATTTTGTAATCTATACACGCCTGGATATATTAGAAAATGGAAACTAAGAAACACGCACGAAGGAGCGGGTTAGGTGACTTAATAGCATAATAAGTGGCACTTTATATGCCATAATTAAGGAGGTCATGTTAATTAAGTTAATTAAGTCTATAATTAAGGATAACATTATTAATTTTTATGAAATTTTTTTTTTAAAAAAAATTAGAAGGATAAAGAGAGAAAAGATCTGATGTATTAGGTAAATAATTTCTTAAGAAAACAACAAAGATTTTTTGTGTCAAAAATTTTAATTTGTTTAAGAAAAACTAATCTCAAACCCATCACTAAATGAAAATGACAAAATTAAAATAATAATAATTATTGATTGGGGTTGAAAAGATGAATTCAAACCAGGAGTCATAACAATTTGGCTAAAGAAAGTGAATCTACACAAAAACTAACCTGAGAATCATCATCCTACATACAAGCACTCATCCAAACTCCCACTCCACTCCATATCATCTCTTCTTTTTCTTTCCTCCCATTTCAACACTAGAAAAAAAAAATTAATTGAGGGCTAAAAATAGAGGCAGTTCCTCTCTTACTGCCAAAAGCAAGATTTTCTTAAAATTTTCGTTTATTTGTTCAAATCGCCATTAACAATCCCTATGAAACTCAACTTGTTTTCTTTTTCTCTTTGGGGTAACGATAAATCAGCAGCTAACGATTTATGAACCTACAATATATTCCTTTAACTCTCAGCTTCTTCTCAATCGATCAAACAGTAATGAAAAAGAACAAAATGAAAATCGACAAATGAGCGAGATTAGAGATTTTTGAGAGTAAACTTGTCTGCATGTTTAGGAAGGAAGTTTTGGGGAAAAGAACAAAAAGAAATTGAGAAATTTAGGGAAAGCAAAACTGACTAAGGTGAGATGACATTCAACATGGCAATATAATTGTCATCTGTATTGCCATTAATCCACATCATCGCCTATGTGATTCACTTAACGTTTTTCATCTGTCCAAGTGTGTATAAATTACAAAAATTAAAATTTAGGATGCCATTAGGTTATTCTGAAAATAAAGAGGCCACGAGACTTTTTAATGAAAGTTCATGAGGTAATTTATATATTCGGGCAATATATTTTATAAAAGTAAAGATAGATACTCTTTACAATCATTTTATTATCCCCATTCATAATTTTATTATATTGCACGATATGATTTTACAATAGCTGGTATTAGATAGTGAAAAGATATATTGAATTTTCAATATTACTTTTAAATTCATCTTTATATAACTCTCTTTTATTCTTCTACGGGTGGCAATCGGTGAGAGCTTTTCTGTTTGCTTTTTTTTGTTTTTCAAATAATCCTCAAATTTGTATCTTTTGATACAGATTTAAGTTATTGTTGCTTATAACTTGAGATTTTATTCTCAGATCTAATTGTGAGTTATTATTTCACCATTAAGGTGATTTTGTTTAGGGTATTTTGTCATTTAGACAATTATGCCAAAAGAAGTGCAAATCTCCTCTCTAATAGAAAGAAAAAATTTGAAGGTCATTAGATCGGACTTGTAGAAAGACCATGGAGTCGAACAGTATCATAAATAACCACAAAGTGAAGCAAACGATCGCCTATGACACAAATATTATGCTATATTAACTCGATCGGATACTTCAAATCAATATTATGGTTTTTTATTCTTTGTATAAGTGGTTTAGTATTAGACTTTACTACAAAAAAATTTAGAAACATTGATATGTATTCCATATATGTAAACAATTTCGTCTTGCTAAAATTTCTAGGTTGATTTCCTTTCAAAAAGAAATCCGTCTTTACATCATAGATTTAATTTTATTTAAATTTTGAACAGTTAGGTTTATTTTTATTAAATATGAAAATATATTGTAATACATTGAATTTTTACTTTCAAAATTTCTTGGTTTAATCTGATTTTAAGACAAGGATTGCTTGTAATAAAATGATTAATTGTAAATTATAACATAATTATTTTAAAATTTATACATCAAATTAAAGTATATTTTATGCTTAATATTTTCAATATAAAATAATTATTTTCAAAAATCATTAATTTTAATAAAAATCAAAGAAGCAAAACTATTTTTAATTCTACAAATAAGTAAAAAAAAAAACTAAAAAGGAAAAGCTAAGAATCGAAAATAAAGAAAAAGAAAAAAAACAAAAATTTGTCAGAATGAAGGTTTTTGACAAAAATAATGTCCTTCAAAAACTATTTCTCAATCTAATGTCAAATCAAAACTATTTACCAATCTAATGTTTATGACATGGAAAGAGAGTGTTGCACTGAAACTACTAACGTAATTGACGATTTTAGTGCAATAAAAAAGTAACTTGTACTGACAATCAATCAGCAAAAATTAATTGTATTAATAAACAATAAGTTTTTATTTTGTATTGAGACTGCCAATTTCAACTGGTGGTTTCAATATAAAATAAAAATTTTAAATTGTTAATTGGTCTTTTTACTAAAACACATAATTCATTTGGTGGTTTTAGTGCAAATATGAAATGTGACCACTAGTCAGTAAAAAATATACGAGAATAGTGTTTTATTGAGAATACACTGGGTTAAATAATGATTTTAATAAAAAAAACATTTGTTTACTCAAAGTACCGTTTCACTAATAGACATATTCTAGTTGAAGCTCCAACAATACGATAATACTTTAATTCCCGCCACTATGACATATAACTATTATGAAAGTTATCACGTTAAAACACACGATACATTATCTTCTGCAACCAAAACCTAAATGGAGTGTACCATCTGCAACATTAGAAATCTCATTGAACACTCATTGCACTCTGATGATGACAACAGAATAAACCCATACTTTTTCCCCTAAAATGGGCAGGTAATGCTATTTCAATATACAATACCACTTTCAATACTTCTGCGACATCTTTCGGCACACGTGATCGATCTACATTCCACTTTAGGCACTCATTTAATGAATTTTTTGAGATGATGAAGGCACCCGATTAATAGACTCATCTGACATTTTCTAGCCCACAACAACCATAGAACAATCATTTGTGAATATGATTAAGCTCCTCTCATGAGTGTCAGTATAAATATCGAGAATGGAGGAGAATGTCAATGCATTAGAGAAAATGTAGTAGACTGAAATCCGCGTTGTAATAGGAAGCGTCCAAGATATGGTATATAAGGACACTTGATAGACGTTAATATAACTCATTTTTCATGTATAAGTTATTAAAATATTTTTAACATAATATAAGTTCAAGGCGAAGCACTTTACTACTCTTGATAATTTGTAACTTTATAAGAAAACTTATGTTTTTTTCACTTGAAATATTTATGAACCAAAACCATTAGATAATATGTATGAAAAAAATACTTTGAGTAAACAAATATTTTTTTATGAAAACCATTAGTTAACCTAATGAACTCTTAACAAAACACTATTCTCTCGTGTACTTTTTGCTAACTAATAGTCACATCCCATATTTGCATTAAAACCACCAAGTGAATTGTGTGTCTTAGTAAAAGGTAATTTGTTTATTAGTATACTTACTTTTTGTTGACTGTTTGTCAGTACGAGTTACTTTTTCTATTGCATTGAAATCGCCAACTGAGTTAGTGGTTTTAGTGCAACAATCTCTCTCCATAGCAGTACAAACATTAGATTGCTAAATAGTTTTGATTTAACATTAGATTGGAAAATAGTTGTTTAAAGAACATTATTTTTATAAAAAGAGAAAACTCAAACTTTTCAAACAAATCTAATCACGATTCACCTTTATATAATTTCAAAAATGGCCTAAATACGGATGAATCATATCTAACAGAAACAATGCTTCATTCTTTGTGGCTTTCAGCCTGTTGGAAGACATAGAGAAGCATTCCAAGCCCCTCTATCAAAAGAAAAGTTAAGGTTTGCAATGAAAATGGAAGTATAAATCAACACAAATATATTCTATCACAAAATTGAGAAGATAAAGATAAAATACAAAGAAATTGACTAAAAAAAAGTGGGCAAAGCAATATTGGGATATTTCACATCAAAATCCAAAAACAGAGCAAGAATGCCATGAACAGTCTTCAGTGACCTTCTTCTAGCATTCTCTTAGCCTTTCTTCTTCCACATTAATGGCTTTTGGACTTTAGTTAGCTCCTTTTCCGGTTCTTCTTCTTCATACTGTTGATTAAAGCTATTCCCTTTATTTATTTACTTCCCCTTTTCTCTATCTTCTTTATTGAGTTTTACTTGGCTGAAACTTTTTTGTTGGGTGTTGGAAAATGAAACCCCCAATCATCAACTCCAAAAATAATACCATTCCATGGCATATGACACTTATTAGACATATGAACAAACCTAATTACATTATCAGTTTTCAATGAAAAAGAAGCCAAAAAATCCAAATCCTATGGTTCAACCAACAAAACCCATTTCAAGTTTCTCCTCAAATAAAATGAAAGCTGACTGACAAATTTTCTTTTCTGGATAACAGTCATTGTATGTGAGTCTTCTTTTACTGCCAGTTCTAGAGGAAGTAGTGAAGCAAGAATTTTTAAGAACAACAATCGAATAAGGAGAAAACAGTTCCTATGGAGTCTTCAATTTTTCCATTTCTATTTCATGCATTACAATATAATAGGAAAATATATGCTCCTGTTGCAATGAAATAATGAAATAAATATTAATAAGGCTAAATCTTCTATTCTTTGATTATCAAAAGGATAAGATTTTTGGAAAGTTGTTTAAGAGGGACTGCTTTTTTGTCTTCAAGGGATCGGCATAGGAGATGGAAGGGAAAAAAGAAAGGAGAGGGAAAAGGGAGGCAATTGAAAATAGAAGGAGACTTGGAGAACAAACAACATTATTATATAAAGCAATAAAATTTATATTTTTTCGCTTTATTAAAGAAGAAAAACGGAAGAGACTTTGTTGAAATACGGAAGAGACTTTGTTGAAATCATGAACTGGAAAAGGAATAAAATTTATGTTTTTTTGCCTTGTTAAAAGAAGAGAAATGGAAGAGACTTTATGTCGAAATCATGAACGGTTGAGCCATTGAAAGGATTAGGAAGAAATATATAACAAACCTAATTACATTATCAGTTTTCACATGAAAAAGAAAGCCAAAAAATCCCAAATCTATGGTTCAACCAGAACAAACACCAAATTTCAAGTTTCTCCTCAAATAAAATGAAAGCTGACTGACAAATTTTTCTTTTTTCTGGATAAACAGTCATTGGTATGTGAGTCTTCTCTTTCTACTGCAGTTTCTAGGAGGAAGTAGTGAGCAAGAATTTTTAAAGAACAACATCGAATAAGGATGAAAACAGTTCCTAATGAGAGTCTTCAAATTTTTCGCATTTCTATTTCAATGCATTACAATATAATAAGGAAAATATATGCTCCTGTTTTGCAATGAAATAATGAAATAATATTAATACAGGGCTTAAATCTTCTTAATTCTTTGATTATCAAAAGGATTAAGATTTTTGGAAAAGTTGTTTAAGAGGACTGCTTTTTTGTCTTCACGGGATCGGATAAGGAGATGGAATGGGGAGGGAAAAAAGAAAGGTAGAGGGAAGAAGGAGGCAATTGAAAATAGAAAGGAGACTTGGAGAACAAACAACATTTTATATAAAGCAATAAAATTTATATTTTTTTCGCTTTATTAAAGAAAGGAAAAACGGAAGAGACCTTTGTTGAAAATACGGGAAGAGACTTTGTTGAAAATCATGAACTGGAAAAGGAATAAAATTTATGTTTTTTTGCCTTGTTTAAAAGAAAGAAATGGAAAGAAGACTTTATGTCGAAATCATGAACGGTTGAGCCATTGAAAGGATAGGGAAGAATATATATATTATATATATATATTATATATTATATATATTTATATTGATTAATAAACAAAACTGAAAACTCAATTGATGTTTCTGTTATTCTAAAATTATAAAACACATGGTACAAGTTACACTCAATCTTCAGTGGCTTTTTTTTTTTTTTTTCCCAGAAACCACATATTTCAGATTTTCTGATCCATTACTAACCCTCTTCAGATTTTCTCATCCGAATAATACTCTTCGGCGTTCTTCTGCCTCTGTCAAACAACCATTGCTAAAATGGTCAGAACCCTTTCTCTGAAAAGAACAGTTGGGCAGCCAAAGCTATTGTTTTTTTGTCACCACAAGAACTGAATCTCTCTTAATAGTATGTACGCTACTGCAAAACATGCTACAAAATAAGCTTATTGTGTCTAATCATCGATAGAAAGCTTTTGCTTCTTCCAGGCATATGCAGCTTCCAAGATCCTCAGGTTTGGTGCTTGAGTTTCTTCTGGGAATATGTAATCAATATATTCCTCCAACCCAGCCAGACCATCTTCTGAAGCAATAGGCCTCCTCTTTTTGAGTTTCTTAGGCATCTTAGGCTGGACTAAGCTAACATCACCTAATTCTCCAAAACTGCTCTCCATGTTCAACCATTCTTCCAAAAGCATTGCACGTTCCTCCTTTAAATCTTACCAAAAGCGATTAGCACGTTCTCCTTTAGTTCAGGCGCTGTGTGTCTGAAGATAGTCGTAATACACACGAGCTTTCTCAAATATAACCATCCTTTCTTCTCGGCCATTTTTAGAATACAATCATGGATGGTCTTCTTCTGTTCTTATCCAAAAATCTGCACCATCGAAACTAAACCTCATCCATGTCAGATGCTTCAAATTTAAGCATAAACTAGTTGGACCCAGAACCCCTGCTTCAAATGCCTTTGGTCCGGTCCTGCAATTGAGTTCCCTCTCCATAAGATGTTTCGCTGTAGTTCTGGTCATATTCCACCTTTCCGGAGAAAATCTTCAAAAAGTTCAGTATAATATAACGTGCCTCCCACAACAACCTCTGGGGCATGGTCCAATGGCTGGCTTGTGCTATAGCAAGTTTCAAAAATTGCTCGGTGCCTCGGTTCCAGTTTCAGCGCAGAGATCTCTCCCAGTTCTGCGTATTTTGCTCCAAGCATGAACACATTGTTCTGAGGTGTCGCCACCTCTAAAAGTATTCTCTAGCATAAAAGCTTTCCGGCAAACGACAATATTAAACCTGGAAAGTTGAAGCTCCTCACATTTCCGATATACTTATACTTTAAAAAATCTAGTCTTGGTGAAGCTTTGCCAATGGCAATTGGCCCTACTAAAATTTGTGCCCGAGCACCAGCAATGATGTCCAACTGCCCGAATTTCAAATCGAATTTCAAATTGGGCAGCTAGAAGCCAAATCTTTGCAAATGAAAACTTCTTATGAGGAATTAGGTTCAGGCACTCCCTATAAACATCCCGTGTTCTCTCAATGTCTCCTGCATCCAGTTCTTCATAGAGAGCATAATTGATCCACAAATATATGTATCTCTGCCAATATCTCTTCTCCTCAGCTGGTGGCACATTAGCGATTGCACGCTCATAAACCTCTCTAATCCTCTCCTTATTCCCTACGCTCTCCTCCAATCTAATATAATCAAACCATGAGTCATAATTCAATGGATTCTTCCTCACTTCATCTTCATACTGAAATCTCCTCTTCCCCACTATTGCATCTTCGATTCCCTCTTTATCCCCATATTGCTTCTCAAATGCTACAAATTTCCTATACAAATCCTCTGCCCTACCTTTTGGTATATGATCCAAAGCAAACTTATAGATGCACCTTGCACGCTCTGTCTCCTTACATCGCTCCTCAAACTCAGCAAAAGCCACAAACTCGCACGGTCTCTGTCTACACTTACATCTCGCTCCTTCAAAACTCAGCAAAAGCCACAAACAACTCTGGCCGAGAGACCTCGCCTCCTCGATCATCAGAGCCAACTTCTCAACTTGACCCTTTTCAACACATCCTAAGAAGCCTCGCAACTTCCCCATTTCTCAACTGCCCTTTCATACACATTCCTAGACCTCGCAACTTCCCCATTCTTCATCTCAAACTTGGCATATCTAATCCATGCACTGACTTTTGGATGACACTGAACAAATCGTTCAAAAATCCCTCTTGCGCGTTCAATTTCATTATACCGAAGCTCAAATTTGATATAAGAGAGCCATCCTTGTTGGTCTGGCATCCAAATCATCCATCTTTCAAAGATCTGCCTCGCGCCAGCAACATTGCCAAGCATCTCCTCCATGTGAATGTACTTGTACCATAATTGATCCACACGAGGCAGAAGCGTAACAGCACGGTCCCAAACATTCCTTGCATGATTTATGAACTTGTTTTTCATCTCGACTTCTGCGTATTTGAGCCATAGGATGTGATTCCGGTAATCGACCTCAAGTGCCCGTTCCCAAACTGAGCGAGCTCTATTGAAGTCCTGTGACTCCTCCCACTGAGCGTATTTTATCCATACGCTAACATTCCATCGAACTCGCCTAATTAGGTCTTCGAATTCCTTTCTCTTACGCAGGCGATAGTCAGCAAGTTCAGTTGAGTCTGTGATTTTCTGCTTTGGAGGCCTGATTTCAGCTTCCTGGCGTTCCCGTGCCTCACGTAAAATCTGCTCCGCGGTGATTTGAATCGGCGCGGGGGTTTTATTTTTGACCCGCGTTGGCCGAGGAAGCTTCACCTCAGTGTCTTTTCGGGTCAGGTAACCAAGAGATGGATCGGCATCCTTAGCAGAAGACATGGTTGCCAACACCTGAATTTATGCACCCTTCTCAAATTAATGACTGAATGGGTATAAGAGCCTATACTCACCTAGTTACCTGAACTGCAGAAAATAGATGCAAAAGCAGCAATTCGTGCCTCCCCAAAAGCAAAACAAAATAATAGATGCTGCTGAGATTTCTTCTCTACGGATAAGAAACTGGAATCACCTTCCTTTTCCAGGAGCAATGGCGGTGGCTGGAATCACGCGACGATGAGCGGCGAAAGTTGGTTGGGTGCAGCGTCAACGAGCTGTAGCGGTGGCTGGGCGCCGCGGCGATGAGATGGGGCTGGGGCTACGTCTAGGGATGGGGCGATTTCTCCAACCCAACTAATAATTTGAAATTTTTCTAAACCAACTGAAAAAGCAAATTCTCAAATTCTATAGATTCTCTATTTTTGATGGAGATGCCACGTTAGCACACTTGAAAATCGTCATTCTTCTCTTTTATAATGATATATACGTATTTCTCAACAACCCCAACTAATAAATTTGAAATTTTTCTAATAAACCCAACTGAAAAAGCAAAATTCTTCAAAATTCTATAAGATTCTCCTAATTTTTTGATGGAAGATGGCCGACGTTTAGCACAACTTGAAAAATCGTCAATTCTTCTCTTTTATAATATGATATATGAATATAACTGTGTATATATACGTATATATATAATATATAAAGTTATATATTATATACTATATAGTTATATAAAGTTGATTTTTGCTTTTCCCTTAATTCCTTATAAAACATTAACACACAAAAAACCAAAAACCATTTATAGCGTATATATATTGATTTTGCTTTTCCTTATTCCTTATAAAACATTAACACACACATTTATAGCGATAGCTAATCCTAAATACATTGGACTTAGACACCTAACTAGTATTAATTGACATTAATGATAAGATGATCATTATTTTCTATATATATGAACCATAATCAGTATCATATTATTTATATTTTTAATTCACACTTATCCAACATATTTAATACAAAATTATCCTAATATTAATGTTCAAACAAAAATATTAATGACTTTTTCAACATTCTCCTTTGATGAGATTTTTGGTGAGCTTGAACTTGAATAATTTTGAAGCACTATCTCTCCAACCTTAAATGAACTGACTCCTCTTTAAAATAATGTTGAAGTTTAGTAAATTATTAGTCCCAAAAATAACCATTTTTGTGGTTTTTGACTTTTATTTATTTAATACGTATGATTTATTCAACTTTTAGAATAATAATTTTTACATTTTTCAACTATCTAAAAAGTGTTTAGCTGATTCAATTTTACAGGTTAGTGTTCAATTGGTCAAATTGAAGTTTTTAATGGGTGCAATTATGAGTCAAAGTAAAAATTAAAAGAACCACTAAATTTTTTGTGAAAGTAATAGAAGTGGAATTTATGTATTTGGCTTTTTTTAAAATATTAATATGTTTTTTTATTCAAAAAGCTAGTATTGGAATATTGACGGCAGTATAGGGTGCAAAATGTCTTATACAAATTCATTATGTTATAATTTGGTTACCATATTTACCTTTTAGTATATTTTCAATAAGGTATGGATCTTCTCATCTATTTTCTTAATAAAGAACATTGACAATACCTTATTTGTGTATAGGAGTCCCTAAAATTATATAACTTATGCTCTTTGTGTGTAAATTGTGACAACTTGAAATAACCCGATCTCTAAAATTCAAAAGTTTTCAATTTAATTTTAAATCTGAGAATCTAAAAATATTATTTTATTGTAATAACTAAAAATATTAATATTAAGGAAGATTGTCCTTTTTGTGGGGGTGATAAAAGGATGTTAATCATGCTTTAAGAGGATGTCAAAGGATCAGAATAGTTTGGATTCTTGGGGCCTTTGAGCTTCAAAATTCTAATGCTTTATATAAAGATTTTTTTCTACACGTGCTGAATAGTGGAGACATATATAAAGTCCACGCTTTTGCTATAAATGCTTGGTCCTTATGGCAAGCACATAACCAACGTGTGTGGAAGAATAATGTTATGCCATACAATGTTATTCATGCAAATGTTGTGACATTCATGCAGTTATGGTCCACAGCCCAAACAACTCTCCAACGTGCTTTAGTGTCTAGTCCTCATCTTGTTACTCAGCCGATCGACACTTCAAATGCATGGCCTGCACATGTTAATGGTGCGGTCTATGACGAGGCATGTCTAGTTGGGTTCAGTGCAGTATTTGAAACGGAAGAAGGCTGCTTCCTTTAGGCCATCTACGGCTGCTATGACGGTGGTCCGGATCCCACAATTGTTGAAGCCATTGCATTGCGGTATTGCCTTTTGTTTGTTCATGAGCATTACCCACGCAGAGGTTCTATTTTTATTGACTCTCAAGTAGTATTTTTTTGCTCTTAAAAATACAGTATTGATAATTCTTCTTTAGGCTTAGTTATTTTAGATTGCAAAGCTATTTTAGATGAATGCCCAAATGTCAATGTTATCTGGATTAGACAACAAGTTAATGTACGTGCTCATACTCTTGCTAGAGCATCCTATCTCCATGCTCGTTTTCATATTTGGGATGCCCATTGTTTGTTGGATTTCTTTCATTAAGTTAATAAAGTTATTATCTCTTTCAAAAAAAATTTTAAACCTTATAAAAAAAATAAATAAAGGAAATCAAACCGCTATCTAAACCAAGGAACCGACCATAAACCAAGACGGAAACCAAAGATCCGACCAAACCATTCCAAAACTACTAAAAGTCTAAAAAATTCTATTAAATCAAACCAAAAACCCATTTAAGCTTGTCAATTGGACCAAACTACACCAAAACAACTTTAGTAGCGCGAATCAAAGGTGTCTCCTTCGACAGCTTCCTCTTCTCCGGTGACGTCAATGCTTTTCCAGCGACATAATTTGACTTGGTAAGCTTAAATCACTCTCTAAGCAACTATAAATGGTAAGCTGAAATCACCCTCTAAGCAACTCTAAATCAGTTCCCTTCAAATAATTTGGTCTCTTTCTTTGGGAATTTGGATATGGTTAAAGTTAGGTTTTTGAGAATTGGGAATCTAATTCCTAGCTCAATTAGTGTCTAACAGTTATAATTGACCAAAGAATCGAACTCCTCACGCAACATTTTGATGTACAGACTTGAGGATTCTGGGCAAGGACTTAGCACCGGCCACCATGCATGGTGGATGTCCTGGCAGTCCGGTGAGACTCCGGTGGGGCACGAAATATAGAATCTTCTCCTTACTCTACTGGTCATGAATATGCAGATCGAACTTTAATAAGTAAACTTTTAGGCCTAGAACTATCTTGATTTCAGTTTTGGATTTTGACTTCTAATTCCTTAGGCTGTCAACTGACAACAAATGAGAATTTGATCTTGTATTTAGAAAATAAATAGAATTGAGGTCACTATAACTCAAACTAGGAAAATCTAAACCTTCGTCAAGAAATCTTAAACATATTGAGTTCAATTGAGAAATTCAATAATGGTATTTAAGTTAGTAAACCATTTGTTTGGATTAGAATATTGTTTATAAGCTTGATTTTGGAAGAAATGGATATTACCTCAACAAGTAGCACTGTAGTTGGAATGTATGATTGCATAACTTGTGAATTGTAGCAGACTTGAGGTATTCTGGGCAACGGGGACCTATCTAGACACACGGCCACAAGTATGCAGTGGTGGATGTCCTGGCAGTCCCGGTGAAGACCCTCCGGGTGGGGGGCACGAAAACTATAAGAATCTTCCTCCTTAACTGCGTAGCTGGTCAATAGATATGCAGATCTCGAAACTTTTAAATAAGTAAAGCTTTTTTAGGCCTAAGAACTATCTTGATGGTTTCCAGTTTTTTGGTTTTTGACTCTAATTCCTTAGGTGTAAAACTTTAGGGTACCAAGACAAATGGGAACAGATATTGAGATCTTGTAGTGAGAAAAAACTTAAATAGAATTGAGCGTCACTATGATATAGCTCTAAACTAGGAAATATCTAAAACCTTTGTACGAAGAAAATCTTGATAACATATTGGAAGGTTCAGAATTGAGATTGCAAGTTTAATGGTATTGTAAAGTTAGTAAAACCAATTTGTTATGGGATTAAGAATATTGTTTAATAAGCTTGATTTTGGGAAGAAATGGGATATTTATAACCGGGTCCGCCACACGTCTCCTTCACAAAAGTAGCTGACTGTGAATATGATTGGAATGGTATGAATTGCATAACTTGTGAATATGGATTCCCCAGAATGTAACAAGGATTGCGGTATGATAGGAGGTATGGAAACCTAAGTAGCATACCGATAATTGATGTTGATTGTTGATAATTGCAATGATGAATATTGTTTATAAGCTTGATTTTGGAAGAAATGGATATTACCTCAACAAGTAGCACTGTAGTTGGAATGTATGATTGCATAACTTGTGAATGGATTCCCAAATGTACAAGATTGGTATTTATAGGAGTATGGAAAGCCTAAGTAGCATCGATATTGATGTTGATGTTGATATCAATGATTGTTGAATGGTGTCTTGTTGAAGAATAGGGGATGGGCATTTATTGTTATTGATTGCCATTGGATTAGGCTGTGTTTGTATTGCTTTATTATATATTTTTAAACATGTAGATAATTCAATTTATAGAGGAAATGCTGCCAGATTTTTAGCAAAAAGAGATTATTAAAGAATTAGGTTTGTTTTATTATTAATAGGACTAACTACTAGAACTATTAGTATATTTTACCATTCTAATATTACTATTAATATTATTAGCATTACTAGTGTTCTCATGGTTATTATTATACTATCATTATTAATATCAGTTAGAACAAATAAATAAATAGAGGGATTATAGTTTCATGTTTTGATAAGTTAAGAGAAGCTGCTATAGTAATTGTAATTAACAAATGAATAAGAATTTAAATTTCTTGAATTAGAATTCTTACTAAGAATTTCCCTTTTAGAGGACTACAAAGTTCCTGAATAACAAGACAAAAGATTGAATGAGTAGTAATAGAGATAGTCCTATTAAGGACAATAATGATTTGTGAGTAGCGTCAAATAATTCGCATCCCTCGTGCATTCTGCATTCATGTGTACATGAGTAATATGATATTCATGTGGAACATGCATACATATAGAAATGCTATATAGGTATGTATGTCATAAGTTGCATTGTCCCATATATACTTATATATCAGATATATGGAAATGCTTTATATCGTGCACTTTGTGAATAATGTGAAATGTTGTGAATGAAGGTGACTTGATTGTGACATGTTGTGGAGTTAGAATGATGTTGGTCACATTGGGGTGAGAGCACGGGCATAGTGAGAATGCCGACAATGGGCCGCAAATGGTTGGAGTGCCCTGCCCCCTGGTGCACTTTATGATTCGATGCGAATCGATGATAAAAGA